TCCTCTCCTCGACGGCGCCCCCCCCCTCACCTCCCCATGGTGGCGGCACCCTCCCCTCACCTTCCCACGTCGACGGCGTCGAGCGCAGCTAGATCTGACCTATGTGGCTCAAGTGCGACGACCAGATCTTTCTTGCATTTTTTTTTGATGTGGATAATGATTTTTTTTTTAAAGTTGATTGTGCGATTGTGTTCAAGTTGATCGATTCAGGGGTGATTGGGAGCTGCATCGAGCCACCTTTTTTTTATTATTCTTGGGACATAGAACCAACACCTTTGATTTCTCTCATTAGTACCACCTACTATGTGCTGGTTTTCCCGATCGGCACCTGTGTGGGGGGTTTCCAACCGGCACCTATTCGCGTTTCTGTAGTAGTGTTAAAAGTATTTTTAATCATAAAACAATTCACAATAAAACAAATAAGAATTAGCAACTTTTTGAGTAAAACAAATTTAACGTCCAAATTTAACAACTTTTTGAGGTGGTGTTTGAATCTCCTGAAGATGAAGATGAAGATGAAGATTAAGTGTTTCACGCAAAATGAGGTGGTAATAACGTGTGATTAATTGAGTTTTAATTATTATAAACTTGAAAAATAGATTAATCTGATATTTTAAAACAACTTTCATATAGAAAGTTTTCGCACGAAATACACCGTTTAACGGTTTGAAAAGTGTGCCACGAGTATCCAAAAGTTAATCCAACTTTTGTTGGAGAAAAGAACAGGGATGTATTTGAAAATTTTATTAAAAAAAATTATGGGTTTCTATCCAACATTTGATCATCCGTCTTATTTGAAAAATTTATAAAAAAAGAATAAGTTATACATAAAATATTATTCATGTTTTACGATCAAATAATAATAATAATATTAATAAAAAAATTTCAAATAAAATGAACGGTCAAATGTTGGTCACGAAAACATATAAAATACTTAAGATAGGACGGAGGGAGTAGTATACTGCGACGACCTGGGTTGTGCCGTTTTTTTATAGTATAGTTTTTCCCAAAGACATTGATATGGCAATTCAAAACCGTAACAGTCGCAGTTTGCATATAGTACAATTAATAATGCAGCCATGCGGGCACCACCAACGACGATTTCCGTCGGCGAAATTTGTCCTAACGAGCTCCGACGACGACTTCCACATTGCAGCCGTAATTTGCCGAGGTCTTCCACATTGCAGCCGTACGTGCCGACGGCCCGACGCCACGTATGTAGCTTTCCGTTTCCAAACTCTGATCGCAACATATGGCCCCGTTCGGTAGTACTTCTAGAGTACTGTTTGATTCACAGTACTGTTTAATTCAGCTTAGGGTTATTATAATCTGAATTATTAGAAATAAGCTAAAACAAACCGATAACATATTATGATAGATTATTATAATCTATAAAGCAAATTACTATAATCTAATCCACTCAAAAGATGCTTTTTTTATTATTGGGTGGCTAACAACTAACAAACAGCTTATAATCCAGGAAAACAAACAGCTCACAGCTTATTATATGTCGGCCTATTATAATTCAGCTTATAGTAATCTGGTTCAATAATCTAAATTACAACAATCTTAAGCTTAGACACGTGAAACGAGGAAACCATTGATGTTTGATTAATTATTTTAAACTCATGAAATGAATCTATTTGATATTTTAACTCTATTTCAATGAAAATAATTTCACGGATAGTACTGATTATTAGTTTGAAAAGTGTGTTAATGAAAACTGTGACAAAATTTGTATCTTAATAGGAAAAGAACATGGCCTATGTACTCTACTTTCACTTCTTGCATGTGTGGTAGCTAGCTGCAGTAAATAATTGACTATACTCGCTCCTCTGTTGCATATTATAAGTTGCATATTATAAGTTATTTTTATTTTTTCATATCAAACATTTTTAAATTTGATTAAGCTTGTAAAAAAATATGGCAATATTTTAAAACATTTATAAAAACAAAATATAAAAATATATTCAATGTTATATATTATTTAATGAAATTAATTTGTTGTTGTAGATTTCGCTAAGTTTTTCTATAAGCTTAGTCAAATTAAAAAAAATTAACTTAAAAATATAAAACGGCTTATGATATAAAACTAAGAGAGTAATATATTTTGCAGACCCCTCGTTGAGTATGATCTGATAATGGATTACCTTACGTGTGGCGATTAACAAGTCACTTGACAATATTATCTTTTGAATGAGGAAAGCACAGGGAATGTTCTTTTTACTTGTCCTTTGGCTCATTTTGCTTGGAATGTAATTGCCATGGTGTTGAATTTATTTTTGGAATGTAACTGTCCCTATCTATCTTTCTGGGATGGTATGAGAGCTATCAAAACAAAAATGAAATCTCAAGTGGGGATGGTAGTGTTTGCTGGGATGTTGTGGGGTCTATGGATAACAAGGAATGAGTGGGTGTTTGAAAACAAACTAATCAAAACTCCTTTGCATGTTGTCTGTCATGTCTTTGTCCCTGATGCAAAGATGGAGGCTGCTACTAAAAGAAAAAACTGCGCTGATTTCCATGAGAAAGCATGCTCATTCTGGATGGTTTGCCGGCGCGCGGTTGACAATCTGCCAGAAGACTTTGGGTAGCTTAGGAGAGTTTGGGATGGTTTAGTTCCCAAACAAAATTTTTCACATAGTCACATCGAATATTTGAACACATACATAAAGTATTAAATGTAAAAAAAAATACAATTACACAGTTCACCAGGAAATTGCGATATGAATCTTTTAAGCCTAATTGCGTCATTATTTGATAATGTGGTGCTAAAGTAAACATTTACTAAAGACGGATTAATTAGGCTTAATAAATTCGGCTCGCAGTTTCCTGACGGAATCTATAATTTATTTTATTATTAGACTGCATTTAATACTTCAAATACCGTATATCCAATGTGACGTGCAAGGGTAAAATATTTTTCCAAATAAACAGGCCCTTTGTGTCGTTTTCTGTCCCAGTTGTGTATATACATGATGTGGTTAGTGAGGGGGCTTTTAGTACTTTTTGATGGTCTGCACCTTTCATAGAAAGCTGGATGTCCCCAGTGTGTCGCAAAGCCTTTTGTTACCCTGTTTTAGCTGTTTACTTTTGTAAGACTCTGTAAGAACCTGTTTTCTTCTGGGCTTTTTACAAAGCCGGGTAATATATTTGCCTGATATACAAAAACAAGTGACTTGATATATTTTGCAAATCTCTCGTTTATTTATATCCATATACATATGCTTCTTCCCTTCAAAGTTAAATTCCTAATATTTCTCAATGTATATATGTACGTCATTCCTACCTCCAGTCTAGTGAACGGGTGCAGACTGCAATTTGCATAGTAAGTACTTATTGATGGGAAAAGGAATTAATTTTGAAATTATAATTTTAAAAAATAAGAACGAATTGCAGTTTTAAGATATAGGACACATTTATTTACCAAGGCTTCCCATTGGACCTCTTTATTCTATCCTATACTTTCAATTAGACCCCTTACTACCTTAGGCACTTTTTTATACTTCTCAACCTCCAACATATGTTGCGTTCTTAAGGGTGTCTTTAGTTCGCAAAAAGAAAATTTTTGGGTGTCACATCGGACGTTTGACCGGATGTCGGAAGGGGTTTTTTTTGACACGAATGAAAAAACTAATTTTATAACTCGCCTGGTAACCACGAGACGAATTATTATGCCTAATTTATCCGTCATTAGCACATGTGAGTTACTGTAGCACTTATGGCTAATCATAGACTAATTAGCCTCAAAAGATTCATCTCACTTTCCATGCAAACTGTGCAATTGATTTTTTATCTATATTTAATACTCCATACATATGTCCAAAGATTTGATGTGACGTTTTTAGAAAAAAAAATGGAACTAAACAAGGTATAAGTTTACTTTCCCAACTTCACCTCCCTTGTTTTCTACGTGCACATATTCCAAATTGCTAAACGATGTGTTGTTTGAAAAAATATAGAAAAGTTGTTTTTGAAAAACATATTAATCTATTTTTCAATTTTTATTTAGCTAATACTTTACTAATCATAATGTATAGGTCGTTTTACGTGCCTCCCGAACACAGTCTTAGCGTGCAACCTGACCTCCACTACCTTCCTCTTGCTTCCACTACCTTCTAACATCCTTCATTTGCTTGAAGGTGGTGCCTTGTTCAAGGCAAAGGGGTCAAAAATTAATAGAAAAAAGGCAATAAAAGTAGGTCCGTTGTTAAATTGTAGGACAGGAGTTTAACGTGAATACCGGTATGAAAAAAAAATCTGAACAAAAATCCACTTGAGAATTAATTTTAGAAATAAAGTGTTGACCAGGAGAGAAAAGCGGGTAAGGATCTGACTTTCGATCTTACTGATGTGTTCAAACAGTACTCGATTGTAGTCGCTCAAGGGACTGTGTTCGGAGGACCCGGCACGCAAAACGAACCACCTATTATTACATGATTAATTAAGTATTTGCTAATTTTTTTAAAAGTGGATTAATATGATTTTTTAAGCAACTTTCGTATAGAAATTTTTCGCAAAAAATACACCATTTAGCAGTTTGAAAAGCGTGCGCATGAAAAACGGGTGAGAAGGGTTGGGAACTAGCACTCCCGAATGCAGCCTAATCTCTCTTCAAAAAAACTAGTATTCCTGGTATCATAGGTGGCCAAAAGGCCCACTACTACCGAAATGCAAAAAAAAATAACAGCACTATATATACAGACTATATATACAGAAAATACTAAAACCGACATCAATAATGTTTTTCTCACCCAAGGCTGGTCCGCATAGCGCCATCGGCTAGAACAAATACCTTTGTGGAGAGATAGATGTCGATTTTAAATAAAAACATGCACCTATATTGTTAGTGCCGATTTTTTAAAGAACCGACAACTATAATATATTATAGGTCTCAATTTAAAGTACAGGCACTAATATAGGTGTTGTTATTTTTTTAAATTTACACCTATAGAAAAACCGGCCACCGAACGACTTTATCTGCTCCCTTGTCTAGTCATCCTTATCACCACACCTCCTCTTCCGTCTCCTCCTCCTCCTCCTCCCTCCTCCTCCACACTTGCTCCCGCCGCCTCACTCACACCCGCCCCTACTGTCGCCGCACGCCTACCTCCTCATTACCACCCCTACCCGCTACATCCTCCCACCTGTCTCCGCCATGCCTCCTCGGCCTTGCCGTCGTCGTCTTCGTTCTCCATCTCCCTCTCAGCATCTTCGTGGCGCTGTGGCTGGTTACCGGCAACCCCGCGGTGCGGGATTTGGCCCCCGAGCTCAGGACCTCCACAGCAGCGAGGAGGAAAGGAGGGGGTTCGGCTAGGAGCGGCAGTGGCCTCCCGCTCGCCCGTCCCTCTCCTCTCATCTCCTGTGAGATTTATTTTGTAATTTTCGCCTCTCCTCTCATCTCATGTGTGATTTATTTTGTGATTTCTGATTGGATTGTCTCTTGTCTTGTGATTTATTTTGGAATGATCATGTGATTTTCGATTGGATTAGGATTTAGTTTTTGAATTAAATTTGTGATGATTTCGGATTCAGTTATGAGCTCAAAGCATCGAGTCGAATCAATCTAATGCATCAAGCTATTTTTCTTTTGCCTCGCGTGCACATCAAAGATGTCGGTTGTGAAACTTACATCAATGACTTGGGGTTTCATCAGTGCCGCTTAGCAGGTGCCGTTTGAAACAACCGGCACCTATAGAGAGAGCTCTCAATCGACACCAAAATCCTTTTGTGTAGTAGTAGCCAGGTCTAGCTATGCTGGCCCAGTCTCGACACAACATGGGCACAAAGGTTGGGGGCTGTATCGTGGTTAGGCTGACACTTTAGCACGGCCTTGTGTCACCTAGCACAACCTACTATGTCCATATTTTCCCCCATTTTCTGCTATATTTCCTATACTTTCATATCTTTCCTTATTTTCCCATGTTATTTTTCCATTTTCCCCTCTCACTTCTTTACCTTTTCCTTTCTTTCAACTATTTTCTCTTTTCTCCACACACACCAACTCGTGCGGCCATTGGCCCCTCTTCCATTCCTGCTATTCTCGCTCCCTCAGCCGTGGCACGTGTTCACAAGCCGTGACCAGCCTATAGGCCACTATCACACCCATTCCGGGCCAGCAAGGCCTACCATCTGATTGGGCTGTGTTTGGGCTCAGGCATTGGCACGTGGGTCGGCATGTCACAAAATATTTTAGCAGCCATGTCTTAAGGGTATTAACTTGATGAGCCGTGCCAGATGATCTATTTGGCTCTACCACTATCTTATATTATGAGATAGAAGTAGAAGTAGATTAGTATATTCCTTCCATTTTAAAATATAGCAACCTTTGGAATTTTATGTTGAGATTAAGAAGTGTGTACTAGAATCGAATAGGGATGAGTGTTGAGATGAGAAAGTTGGTTGACAAATTAAACGAAAGATGATTGATGCGTTTAGAGGAGTGGGTAGGTGAAGAATTAGTTATATTTTAAAATAAATTTGAATACCAAATATAGCTATAATAGTATTTTAAGAGGGAGGGAGTAGATCGTAGCAGGTGGACAAACACAGCTCTGCTCCATGCTATCTATAAATATACGTACGCGCCACAGACAATTGGAGCTAGCTTATTGAAGGAAACTAAAGGAAGAGGCAGCTACTCCTACTCATCTAGGAAAATAAATTCCTAGCTAGTTAATGTTGTACAACTTACATGCGTCCATGGCATTCTGGCTACTTGCAGACCTGCTGATTCTTCTAGCTTCCGCCGCCGAGAGCGTCGCCGGCCAGCCTGCTGCCAGTTGCCAGGCTAGGTGCGGCGACATCGACATTCCCTACCCGTTCGGCATCGGCCCCAATTGCTCTCGCGGAAAGGGATTTGAGATCGCATGCAATCCCCGAAACGACAGCGGCGAGATGGTGCCGACCCTTGCCGCCGCCAATGGCACCATCCATGTGCAGAGCCTGTTGGTAGCGCCGATCCCGGAGGTCAAGGTGATGCTGCCGGTGGCGTACCAGTGCTACTACTCCAACAACAGCATCACCGACTCGTTCTACGGCGAGGTAGACCTCAACAACACAGGCGTGTACCGCATCTCCGACAGCCGCAACATGTTCGTCGTGATTGGGTGCAACACCCTGTCCTACACCCAGAACGGGAACAGCGGCGGCAAAGGCCCTTACGCCGGCCTCTACTACACCGGCTGCGTCTCCTACTGTAACGACTCGTCGAGCGCGCGGGACAGCATGTGCGCCGGCGTCGGCTGCTGCCACATCGACATCTCGCCGGGCCTCAGTGACAACGTTGTCTCCTTCGGGCCCTGGAAGCGTGGCTTCCAGGTAGACTTCAGCCCCTGCGACTACTCCTTCCTCGTCGACAAGAACGAGTACGAGTTCCGTAGCGCCGACCTCAAGATGGACCTCAACCGAACCATGCCGGTGTGGCTGGACTGGGCCATCCGCGACTCCGTTACCTGCCCTCCACTGGAGGTGCAGGAGAAGAAACCGGCTGGGTACGCGTGTATGAGCGACAACAGCGAGTGCGTCAACTCCACCAACGGTCCCGGATACTACTGCAAGTGCAAGCAAGGCTACGATGGTAACCCCTACGTCGACAAGGACCAAGGTTGCAAGGGTAAGATTAATGTTTTTATTTTATTACTCCTAGTTAACAGTTTTGCTAAATATATAGTGCCACCATTTTATTTTTACCTTTCGTTGTGTGCACCAACCCTGTTGGTGTTTAAATTCATTAACTAATTTTTTTTTACCAGGTTTCATTTGATCTTTTCACTATTTGATGTAGGCGCAAAAAAAGTGAAAAAACGTATTGTGTATTTTAGTAAGCATCTATATATACACGGCCGTGTGTTGCAAGTTTCACAAGTTGCGTAATTTTGCGTGTGTGTGATATATAGGATTTGAACGGGAACCTGTTCTTCAAGTAGCGTCCTTACCATCTCACCTATAAAGAACTTTGTGCATGCGGGAGAGATGCTTATTCTTTTGACTTCGCCCCTCTAAAACTTGTAATATATAAATTGCACTATAAATGATATCAAAAGGAAAATTTATCAACCACAAACTTGTAGATCACATTGAGCTCTACAATTTCGATATAGAGCACAGCTCCATCTGAGTTCATTTAAAAACATAAAAGTTTGTTTATTCAACAATAGATTTGAGATTTTGTAACGAATATCAGGACCCGTAAAAAGTCTCGAATGAAAAAACATTCAACTATATAGTTGTAGAGCTCTCCAATTTTCATAAAAAGATTTTCATCATACGACTTCATATATATCAAGATACTACTCCTTTCCTATTGTAGTAGTGCTATTATTTTTAAGGGTGGTATTTTCAAGAGAACCGCCTCAAAAGTTAATTTTTGCGTGCCTTTCCATATAAGAATTGCCAAAAAATGACATTTATGTAGGAAGCCCATCTGAAAAAACTTGTAATTCTATGAAAATGTCTAAACTTTAAAGATTTATGGAAAGTTCATTTTAAGTTCAAATGAGGTGAACCAAAGTTATATATGACCCTTACAATATTTTTTTATTTATATTTCTGTTAGTATAATTGTTTACTTATCATTTACCTCTATATGAGTTGGTATGTTATCTAACGTGACATTAGTGAATGACCATACTAAAAGAAATGTTCTAAGAAAAATATTAACTAAGTTTTACTATAAGAAGTACTAGAACGATCTCGGAGAACTTTAGTTTACCTCAATAGGACTTAAAATGAATTATCTATAAATTTCTAAAATTTTGATTTCTTAAAGAACTGCTTATACAAAAATAGATACTAGAGCTTATAAAGATATTTACTACAAAGTTGTAGATCTAGTTAAGCTCTACAATTTTAATATAGAATGTCTTTATCCAAGATCGTTTGAAATACTCAAAAGTTCGTTTTCAAAAATAGATCTGAGAGTTTGTAAAAGAAATAGATCTAAACGTATTATCCAAAATGTTGAAAAAAAGTTTCAATGTAGATTTCGTGAAGAGCGACAATTTTTATAGGCGGTTTCCTAAGAATTTGCCAGTTAAAAAATATTTTATACGTGGTTTATAATCCTGGACAGCCGAAGCCATCTTCACACAGGTGATTTTCATTTTGAGTTGCCTGTCAAGAGAAAATAAAAAGAAGCCTAAGCCTACGATTTTTTTTTACTAGTGACAGTTGATCTAACGACTAATATATATGATCCTTTTTATATGCACAGACATCAACGAGTGTGATGTGTCCAACAAGAAGAAATATCCCTGCTACGGCGTCTGCAACAACATCCCAGGGGATTATGAGTGCCACTGCCGTGTAGGATACCAGTGGAGTGGTGAAGGCCCCAAGAAACAAGAGTGCAGCGCAAAATTCCCTCTTGCAGCAAGGCTTGCCCTTGGTACATATGCACCTCAGCATTTTTTTAAAAAAATATAAAATAATATACTATATATATGTCACATTGAGTTTACACCAATTCAATGATTTCCCATTGACTATGTTTTTAATTGTTTCTACAATATACCATTCAACCAAACAAAGAATTTCTTATAATGCCTAAAAATATAAGGGTTGACAGTTAATTGAAAAAACTAAAGAAAAACAACAATTTTAAAAAATTAGCCTCCTAGCACATGATATAAGAATATAAGTGTGTATAAGTTTCATGCTTTTTGCATTTTATTATTTTTTGTAAAATATAATATGTCTGTTATTTACATAGACTACTTTTCTGCATCGTTTGTATATTTTTATACAAATCATCTTTCATGTGCTACACAAAATATTTTTGTTATTTTGTTTGTAAGTGATTTCTCTCTAATGCCACATAGAATGACTTTTCAAAAAAAATACATGCAAGAAATTTTGAAACATAAACAGAAAATTGTATATTGTGTAAGGAAACTGCACTAAAGATTAGTTACAGCAATATATTGTGCACGCCAATATTAATATAACATTAGTTGTTCACAATAATATTTATCAAATAAAATGAGCCTTCATTCATACTCCCTCTACCCAAAATATAAGGCACAACCACTTTTTTTCCATGTCTCACAATATAAGGCTTGCATACATTAGCCATCACCTCTTGGTTCTTTAAATTTGGTTTATTTTAAATCATCTACCGTTAAATCCTCCAATCAAATTGCTTGCATGTATGGATGTGATCCAATCAAGAAGGTGATTAAATTATTTCTTGGTCTTTGTGTTATGAGTGGTTGAGCCTTATATTTTGGGATAGAGGGAGTATTTCTATTAAAAAATAATACTGCAACTCATATATGGATTTGTTATGTTTGCTAATAAGTTTTTTTTAACTTTCGTAGGAATCACTTTGGGATTTTCCTTCCTAATTGTTGCTGTTCTTTTCACGCTAATGATGCACAAAAAGCGAAAAATGAATGAATATTTCAAAAAGAATGGTGGTTCAGTGCTACAGAAAGTGGACAATATCAAGATTTTCACCAAAGATGAGCTAAAGAAAATCACAAAGAATAATTCAGAAGTTCTTGGTCAAGGAAGCTTTGGTAAGGTGTACAAAGGGACTCTTGAAGACAATACTCCGGTTGCAGTGAAGACGTCAATCGAAGTAAATGAAGCTCGAAAGGATGATTTCACAAATGAAGTGATCATCCAATCGCAAATGATGCATAATAACATTATCAAGCTTTTGGGTTGTTGCTTGGAAGTGGATGTTCCAATGTTGGTGTATGAGTTTGCCGCTAAGGGGAATCTGCAAGACATTCTCCATGGTGATGCCAACATCCCTCTCCCGTTGGGCTTACGCCTAGACATCGCAATTGAATCAGCTGAAGGTCTAAGGTACATGCACTCATCAACAAGTCGTACCATACGACATGGTGATGTCAAGCCGGCCAACATACTTTTAACAGATAAGTTTATCCCCAAGATCTCAGATTTTGGAACATCTAAGCTTCTTAATGTAGACAAAGATTTCACCATGTTTGTTGTAGGAAGTATGGGCTACATAGATCCAGTATTCCATAAGACCGGCCATTTAACACAAAAGAGTGATGTATACAGTTTTGGAGTTGTACTGCTAGAGCTCATATGTAGAAAGCCAACAATATATGGTGAAAATTGTAGCCTCATCATTGAGTTCCAAAATGCCTATGATCAAGAGAACAGTGGGAGGATAATGTTCGACAAGGAGATTGCAAATGAAGAAGATATCCTAATCCTAGAAGAAATTGGCAGGTTGGCAATGGAGTGTTTGAAAGAAAAGGTTGAAGAGCGACCTGATATGAAGGAGGTAGCAGAACGATTTGTTATGCTGAGAAGATCAAGGAAGTGTGGATAGGGAAATTATAGTGTAAGTCCTCAACACTGTGAGTAGATTACTATCGAGGGAACTCCTAAGCACTTTGGTGCCAGCATCAGTGCAAGAAGCAGTGCGATGCTTTCTGCACCAGCCACTCCACTTAACTAGAAGGTGGACAATAGGAAGATAGGAGCTACAAACAAAAATATGTATTTTGTGGTAGGCATGATATAATCAATGTTATCAATCGGTGTCATTTCATTTAAAGTAAATTGTGTTTTTCAAGTATGTATCTCCTATTTATGTTTTCTGTAATTTGAATCGATTTTTGTGTATTGTAGTACAAAACTGTGTAATCTATTGTTGTTGTGTGGAACTCAGGTCATGTTATATATTGTCTATGGTTGTTTTGATTGTAGCACGTGGCTTGGAAATATTTCATTGATGTGCATGTACTGTAACATTGCTTAGCTATATCTAAAGTAAAAAAAGTCATTATCCTTGCAAAGATTTTAGTGTAATCTTGCATAGTTTACAGAGATAGATTGGCTTGCCACCTATGCATTATTGGGTTCCAATATGTGCCAAGAAGGAAATGTCTAACATTTGTTCTCAAAATATTTTATATTTCTATACATAGGCCCATTTGGTTGGGCTTAAACTCCTAAATTTAACTTCAGGAGTTGGATATAGAGTGGAGTTGTGGAGTAGCCTAAACCTAGCTCAACTTTTCTAGTTTATTTTATAAGAGCACTCTAGTTAGCTCCGATCCTTTTTTTTTGTCAAGCAGAAACCTTTTGGTTGGGCTCCAGCTCCAAGACAAGTTGGAGCAAGAGCTAGAGCAAGAGGTGGTGCCATGCCAAACAGGCCCATACACCAGCAAAAATGCCCATGCATTACAATGTATCAAGTCAACCTTTCGCTTATTCATCTTCTCATACATTGCAACAAGAAAAACTAATATAATAATTAAAAAAATCACATGATTAGGTTACGTTTCAATGTCAATATAGTTTTGAAGATGATGCGGTGAATTTTTTGGATAATGGAATAAATTCAAGCCTTTACTTCAAATAAGCTATAACCACTTATTACAAAATTCTCTCAAAGAGAGCAAACATTCAGACCATGTCATAGCGACGGGCGCATCCGGCAATAACAGATCCAATATACATCGTCACCACTCAGACCAACACCATGTAGACTTCTCGCAGCATGACTGCTAGCAGGCACCACATGTAGGCGTCAGCGTTAATGAAGGAACGTTAACATAGAGATCGAACGAAGAAGGCAGGTAGATCGCCACAACCCACCTTGCAGCACGGGATGACTTAATGTTGACATCCCCAACCATGAGTGGCGTTGGACGGTTGGAGTCTGATGATCATTATTGGTGGCACTAGCATTATACTCCCTCTAACGTTTTCAATTTTTTTCTAAGTTAAACTTATGTATATTTGATCAAATCTATAGAAAAATATAGTAACATTTTCAACATAAAATAAACCAATTTAATAAAACCAATTATATTCAATGCTAGATTTAATAAAAGCAATTTGGTGTTGTAGGTGTTGCTATATTTCGTTATAAATTTAATTAAAATTAAATAAGCTTAACATAGGGAAAAAAATCAAAGTGTATAATATGGTACAACAGCAGCAGCCACAGCCATCAGAGGGTTCAGGGTATCACCGCCTCCGTGCATCTTCATATGTGATTTCCTTTGCCTTCCGCGGAGGGCGGTTCAAGGGGTGCAGACTCGGCGGCAGCTGTTAACCTTTGACTGCTTGCCTTTGACAAGATGATGACGGGAAGAGGCTGACGGCGAAGGACGTCGTGGAGCACCGGTGGTTGACGGGGAGGCGCCTCCCTGATTTTAGATTCACAATTTTTTCACATTGTTTTGATTAGCATTGTAATCTGTCAAACGAGACTATTTAAATGTTGTTGGTCGACTTAAGTTTATTTAATCAGATTGATTGCCTTCAAAATTTTATACCAAATTTGTTTGTAACAGAAGAAATTCGTCCATCCTATTGCCTTACATCTTGGCAAGCACGCTACAATACTCTTCCTGGACAGAGGAGCAATGATGGGGTAAAAAGGAGCGTCATCATTCGTCCAATTAATGGCTTATCAAAACTTGAATTTTAAAATTTGATTTTAAAGTTGGTTTTTTGATTTTTTTTTCAATGTAGTTTTATTTTTCAGCTTTGGCTTTTAAATCACTAAGGACACATGTAGTAATTTTTACTTGCAAATCATTTTTTATCCCTAAAAATAAGCTGTTACGGCTTATATAAGCAGCAACCAATGACCCAAAATCACAAGAAGAAAAACTGGCAGGTAGGTCCAACTGTATGTCTGCAGATAATTCTTTCATCCCATCGGTTTACCACTACAGACGCTGCCGCGACCGCGAGATACAAAACTTGAACACGACTGTTTTCAATTCACAAGCACCACATGCATGGCACATAAGTATAACTGAAAGAAAACGACGGTACATGTCTTAGGCTATTGCAGGTGTTATGCTGGACCAGCGTCTAAGCTTCTATCTTGTTTCATAATTAGTTAAAAAAAATCCATCGCATTGCGTGATGGCTGGATTTGCGGCATCAAGGGAATGGAAATGAAGAGATTACTCCCTCCGTCTCTAAATATTTGACACCGTTGACATTTTTAAACATGTTTAACCATTTGTCTTATTAAAAACTCACTACACCATGTACCAGAATTCGCGACAGATATCTGTTGGGAAATATTGCTATTCAACGTCATATGTTCTGTCGAGAAAGCATTGTGACAGCTGGTCTGTCGGTAGTTCTCAGAAAAATAAGGACATAAAGTCTGTCGGTAATGTTACTGATAAATTAGGACTAACTATCTGTCGGTAACTCCGTTTATGCGAGCGCGAGGAGGCCAGGCCAAAAATCAGATGTGTTCGCGGGCTGGGGCCAAATTTTCGTTTCCCTGCGCGCGCTTAGTAATCTCCGGTCTTTATCTCTCATCCCCTTCCGGACAAACCCTAGACTTCTCTCACCTCCTCCGCTCTCGCATCTCGCCCTCGCAAAATCAGGCGTGCGCCGCCGCTCGCTCTCCCCCGGCTCCCCCTCGCCCGCGTACGCCCGCTCTCCCATCGCCGTGTCTCCACTCTCCATTCGGGCTCCCTCGTCCATCTAGCTATTGGCGCTGCCCTCCCTCTTGTGTCATCAGGCGCCAGCGCCGGCGCCGCCGCACTCCATTCCCATAGCCAGCCGCCGGAGCTGGTGTCTCCTCCATCCTCCTGGTCGGTCTAACCGCCACGACATTGGAGGGGAATGGGGGTTGTCAGATCCGGCTGTTCCCTACCTTGGGGCGACTGGATCCGTCCAGCGCCGCATGGTCCTCCTGCAGATCCCCATTTTCAGTGATAAACGGGTATTTTCTTTTAATTAGTCATTCTTACTTTGTGCGCAGTAGCTAGCATGATTAGTTTGATGCGTTTATGCTCAGGTGCGAGGGCCACACGTCCAGGGGTGGGCAGGCTTGTTGTACTTCCCCTTTGCGGCGGTACTCATTCTCGCTGACCCTCGCATCTCCTCAATATACAAGCTTTACAGGTTTCGTATATTAATTATCATTGCTTTGGATCTTAAATAACTCTGACAAATCTTTTTAACTTAATTATTTTGCTGATCAAAATGCATTTGTTATCAGTTTTCAAGAAAGATATATAACTTGATTCAAGAATTTGTTAATCCTGTACAAAGTTTAGATTTTGACTATATATAGTGCATCACGGTCATCTTTGCTTGCCTGATCAGGAAACGTAGACAGGGATGTTACTCCACTAGAAGTCTTGAACATACCTTATAGGTGTTGAGCTCAGCAGAAAATTTATATGTTGAACTATAGAATTTGGATAATTACTTACTCAGACTACTAAATTAAGTATATAAAATTTGTGGATTAATGTTCATTCCAATCCTTTTAGGGGCATTTACAAATGCAGAGAATGCAAGTACTTCATATGTTCTGAATATATGCAAACTAAAGTATTTTACAGAAATTCGGTATGAGTATATTAATTCAAGTTGGCATTTTTATACTTACTGATTTGCACTTTTACCATTTTGTGTCCTTATCTTCTTAGCCTGAAATAAATTGGACTTTAATTAATGCAATCCATCTATGTACCTCTGAAGAGCATGCATCCAGTTGAGATCACTGATCATTAGGTGCGGAAAATCTTAGCACTTCTTTTCTCTGAAATAAACTCCTATTTCCGTTGTCAAAATTATATATATAGAAAAATGCTTTGCAGGTTAGTTCCTGTAGATCTTGTTTCATCATGTACTCAGTGGTTTTGCTTCTTGAACATATAATAATTCTCGGTTTCTATACTTTCCTTTGATCACTAAAAATTCCAGAAGTGATGGTGGCAAACGCATTTGGATAAGATAAATCTTAATTTGGGCTATGATGGAGTGAGTGGTCTCTGTTGTTTAGCTATGTTTTAGCTGCTTAATGTTCTGTGACAAAATACTTTATGTTAAGTTCCTGTATTGCAATTTAGACGGTCTTGTCTTAAGGGGGCATAATAATCTTTAGTTCCTGTATGATGAGGTGATCTAATCATCTAAGGCTTCCTGCTGCAATATTGAATAGTAGTGTAAAGGACATTGAATGTGGGCAGGTTAGTATTTTTGAATCTTCTAGTATGTATTCACATTTTTATTGCACTACTAGGCCACCTCAGTTTATAGATTTTAGTAAATTAGCAATATACACAATGAAAAGAAAACTGTTGTGTTAAGGAAATTCTTTATTTGCCATCCAGAATGAAAAGAACATGAGGTTCAGTGCATCCAGTTAATGTGTTGCCCCTTTGTTTTTTAAGATCAAACTAGTATTTCACAGCTGAGTTTAAAGAGGGAATAAATTCTGATTTACTCGGTATACATACGCTATTTTGTTTGGCCAACCTGTGCTGCTTTTTACCCATGCATGCTGTTCTAGTTGCGGCATCTGCTATGCTCTGATTAACTGGCACAGCTACTCTGGTATGATTAGCTATTTTGGACTTTGGTTAGGATTGGAGGCTGTGCTGTTTGGCTATTGGTTTTGCAAACCATGACTATTAGAGGGCAGCAAACATCTGATTATACACTAATTGCTTTTGTATTTCCTTTTCTTTAATCTTATCTTAACATGCACTGTTCAAGAACTAATGCATGTACCTCACTTGTTTTCAGATTCCTCATACTGGATAGTGTCCTTAACCTTGGTGGATATGGGGCTGTAGCATATGATTAGGTCTGAACTGCTAAGGGTGGTGCTACTGCCTCTGGTTTTTCCTTAGTTCAATTTTATCACCTCTTAATCAAGTGATTTATGTGAAGCCAAAAAGGACTTGCCACCCTTAGGATCGTCAATGTACAAATTCTTTCTTAGCTTTTTTTTTTTTAATTCACAATCCTCTGTTAAAATGCTGAGGAGAATGGTCAATTGGTCATGTACATGATGAATGAATGAATGAAATGAATCAGACATTTGAGGGTGGTTGTCATTGTGAATGTCATTAGCTATTGAAATTGGTATGCTCATGTAAACAGGTGTAATGGACAATAATGTGAAATAGTTTTCTTTTTAATGGTAGCAGAGCTTGCTGTCAGACAGTGTGTCGGCAAATCTACTTTTTTCATCAACTCGTCTGTCGGTAAAGATGTTTCTGTCGCTAGACATGTCTGTCGTTGAAGGTAATATAGGGGTCAGTTCATCTGTCGGTAAAGATTTATCTGTCGGAAAAGCCCTTTGCCGACAGGCTTTCGCCTGATACACGTAATCTGTCGGAAAACTCTCTACCGACAGACAGGATGATGCTAAAGGTGGTATTTACCGATAGATGAGCTGTTGCAGCTTTCAGGTCATGGTGTAGTGACTTTTGTGAAGTATGTAAAACTATATGTATACATAAAAGTATACTTAACAATGAATTAAATGATAGGAAAAGAATTAATAATTACTTAAATTTTTTGAAAAAGACGAACGGTCAAACATGTCTTAAAAAAATCAACGGCGTCAAATATTTAGGGACGGAGGGAGTATATGGTAAGACTTGTTTGCGACTCTAGGGCAGCAGAGATTATCTTACAGAACATATCCCAGACGACCGTCAGGGAGCACCATTGGTACCATCATTCGAGCTGGTGCTGGTCCTCTACCATATATCATGGGCTGTAACGAAAATGTCCATAGAGACAAATACAATGTAACAGCAGTGGCGGATGCAGACAAAGCATTTGAAAACGAAGAAATATTTGTGAATAAAATTTTTACATGTGTGTTCTTAGAAATCTAAAAGCAAAGGTTGAAAAATAAACTTCAATGAGAAAATTTCAAAATCAACTCTAAATTTAAGATTGAAAATTTAAATTTTGGCTGATAAGCATAAGCGAAAAGATGAGGCTTCAGGATTCCTAGCATTGGTATTCGGAGTTACTTAAATCATGTTTCATAGAATTTATATAAAGATGTGTTAACAACCAAATTTGGAATCATCGGTGTCAGGAAAGAAGATTAGATCGAAGCGAAGCGGAGGCGGAGATCGAGTTCGGAAACAGAGCAAGAATCGGCTGGAGTCCAGATCGGCTACGATTAGGATCGGCTGGGTCTGAGTCAGACTAGGTAAGCCGGTACAGCCGATTCCGACAATGCAACTTGATGTATGATATTGGGTTGAATTGAGGCGCTTCAAGGTGATTGCCGCACATGGATAGAGTCCTGAGAAGGCAATTGTATCTATTAATTAGGATGTTTTATGTAATCTCCTTAGAGATACGCTTGGGCAAAAGTCTGCCGCAAAGACATATGGTATCTTAGAGTTTGTTAGAGATAGTAGTCATGTCCGTTATGGACATATCTTGTAATTCTCGGGTATAAATAGACCCGAGCCCTATGTAACTTTTAACACACATGTTCAATACAATTTCGGCGCATCGCCACCCTTTTGCTTTAGTTTTGTTTCGACGAGTTCTTACTTTCAGGTTGAGCTGCATCGGTTTCGATCTTCAACAAGAGGTAAAACTTGTTATGACGGCTTGTATTCTCGGGATTAGTGCTTTCATCTTTATGACACTCTAATCTTGTTTATGTAATTCGTCGAGTTATCATATATCTTACATAATCTCTGGCAATATCGCTATCTAACCTACAATCGGCTAAGATCTATCGAAGAGGGCAGCCGATTAGGTTAGATTTTGACGTTGATTCAGATTATATAAGATATCTACCACTCTATGAAACTTCCAGCGGCTTGATTTTCTAGATATTGTTCTTCTTTTCATATTTAATGCTGCATCAGTTGAGTTTGATCTATTAAGTCGTGCTTAGAATATCAATCTCTAGCCTGCCTTCTGGTTGCCGATTAGGGTAGCATCAGAGTTTCAGCCGATCTTATCTGATTTAACTATATTTGCTCTATATGCTTCATTGACATGTTAAATATGCCCTTTATGTCAAGATATTGTTGTATCTAAGTACATTAGGCCTTTGTTTGATATATTATACCTGTTTTAATATCCTGATATAGAGTAGTATCGGAGTATTAGCCGATACATGCTAGATCTATCTAATCGGCTATGCTATAAACATACATAGTCCTATTATTAATATATATTTCGATCTAAGTGATTTATACTGTCTCGGCATAGTGACCGATCTATCCCAATCACTTGATTTAAGTATATATCGATATAAGAACTATATATTGGAAATATCTACAGCCGATCGAATAGATTTAGTTCTTTATTGTCTATTTACAACTGCCGATCGATTCACATATGACATCGGCTCAAAGATAAATGGTATGTCATCGGCACCTAGTCGATCAACTATCATTTATAGATTTAACCGCGGTTTGTTTGCTTCTATTTCTTGTTGATTACAGGATCAAATCAACTGGCACGCTCATACATTCGAAGGCGAGCTTTGGACCTGCACTGGAGTTAAGCAGATCTCCCACGCTTCGTGTTTTCTGTCAACACGCTTTTGGCACGCCTGGTGGGACATTTAAGAAGTCAGCCAACAATTCTTCTTCATGGCCGAGAAACAACCACCACCACCATCTAGCCCAGGCTTTGTTAAGGACAAGATGCTAAAGCTAGGATTGACTGACGTCAATGAAGGAAACGTCGTGCCGATCGATCCAGAAAAATTCACACCTGAGCAGAAGAAAGAGTTTGAAGCAATGTTGCAGCAAGTACGGGATTAGTTCTTGAACTCATTCATGTAGACCCGCAAGGGGACACTTGTTTAGAAGTACAAAATAAAAGTGGTTGCTGATGATCCTGGGACCAGTTCTTTTAAGGATGGAGATGGGAAACAAGCTCCAGACGGCTCGGCTCAGCCGAGTATCAAAGGTGCTACTGACGGCTTTCTAGGAAATCAAGGCGACAATTCTCAAGGAGTCCATGGAGTACAAGGTGACGGGGTGCATGGAGTTCAAGGTGATGGTGCTCAGGGGCTGCAGGGAGGAAATCTTAATCAGAATAGTGATGTGGCACAGGATTTTTTCAATAACTTCCAAGATCGGGTTGATTACGCTGTGCATCATGCTTTGATCAATCAGTCTGGGGTGTTAGTCAATAGCTTATCAAACATGATGAAGTCAATAGCCGATGGTTCAATAGCTGAGCATCAGGCTGCAGGCCCGGTTTATTTGCAAGGAGGTGTCTTCCCAAATTATCGGTCTTTGATTACCGATGTTCAGCCATCTACTCAGGCGGTTACCTCCGTTGCACCAACAACTTAGCCAACGGCGCCGGCAACAACTCCCCTACCTGCTTCATCAGCGATGGCGCCAGGCCAGCCGGTGAACCCTCGGTTGTTAATGAGAGAGCAGCCACAGCATGGCGGGCAGGTTGTGAATCGGCTGACCCAAGATCAGGTTGCTGCCATGTTTCTGCCACCTCAATCTGTTGTTGATCCAATACATCAGCAGCCGATTCAACAGACACCCCCAATTCAGCAGGTTGTACAACCAATCCGGCAACAGGTCATGCAACCATTCAGCAAACACCACCAAGGCAGCAGCCCCTACAGCCGATTCAGCAGACGCTGTTAAGACAGCAAATCGTTCAGCCGATCCAGCACCAAGGTTCAATAAGCGCATCGGCCGGGTTTGCAACGCCTGGTGGTCAGCCTGTACAACAATTTTTAAACCAAGTTGTCCCAGAACATTTGGTTCACCACGTACAGCCGGGTGGCACAGTAATGCCTCAAGTTATTCCTGAGCACTTGGTACGCAATATCCAGCCGAACCTTCATAATTACCAAGGGGGTAACTTGAATTATCAATATCAGCCTCCTTCCCCGCAAGCCCAATATCAGCTAGGGGCATTGGCTCAACCTCAGTTTGCGTCTCAATACGGTCAGTTCGAGCCCATGCAACAGCAGTCACAAGGGGCAGCTCAGCAACAACCGTGGGCCAATGTGATTGCTGACGTAATGAGGGAACAGTTTGGGCTTAAACCAAAAGAGACTGGAAGTTTGTATCGGCAGCCTTACCCTGAGTGGTTTGAGAGAGTTCCTCTTCCCAATTGGTTCAAAGTTCTAGACTTCTCCAAATTTTCGGGACAAGATGGTGTGTCAACTTATGAGCACATTAGCCGATTCTTGGCTCAGTGTGGTGAAGCATCGGCTGTAGACGCTCTGAAGGTTAGGTTATTCCGGTTATCTTTATATGGATCGGCTTTTACTTGGTTTTCCTCTTTGTTGTATGGGTCGATCAATAGTTGGGCCGATTTGGAGAAGCAATTCCACAGCTATTTCTACGGTGGGGTTCATGAGATGAAATTATCTGACTTGATAGCGATTAAGCAGCGGCATGATGAACCTGTGCAGGAGTATATTCAGAGATTCAGGGAGATGAGGAACAAATGCTTCAGCTTGAGTTTAACTGATGCCCAGTTAGCCGATCTGGCCTTTCAGGGTATGATTGCTCCGATTAGGGAGAAATTCTCGTCTGAAGACTTTGATAGCTTGTCACAACTGATACAGAAGCTAACCTTGCATGAGCATAGGTCTGCGGAAGTTAGGAAAAGCTCTAAGAAGGTTAATCATGTTTGTCTGTACATGTATGGGTCGGATGATGATGAGGATGATTCTGAAATAGCTGCAGCCGAATGGGTGAGGAGTAAAAAGGTCATACCATGCCAATGGGTAAAAAGTTCTGGAAAAGAGGAGAAGTATGACTTTGATATTACTAAAGCTAACAAGATCTTTGATCTGCTACTCCGAGAGAAGCAAATTCAACTTCCTGCTGGTCATACAATCCCATCGGCTGAAGAATTAGGCAAAAAGAGGTATTGCAAATGGCATAATTCTAGGTCTCATTCTACTAACGATTGCAAGGTTTTTAGACAGCAGATTCAAGTGGCCATTGAGGGGGGCAAGATTAGGTTTGATTATTCCAAAAAGCCGATGAAGGTCGATGATAACCCTTTTCCTGTTAATATGGTGCATACAGCTGGCCAAATAGCCGATAGGGTCCGTGCAAGGGGTTTTCAGGCGAATTCGGCTAAGATTATCGACAAATATCATGAAGAATACGATGATGGTTTTGATCCCCATTGGGGTTGTGAGTTCTTTAGA